AAAAAATAGTGAGTTATTTTGGTTTAGTTTCAGAAATAGTGTGAGTTATTTTGTTATAGTTTCAGAAATAGTTCATAAAATAGTGGGTTATATAAAATAGTGGGTTATTTTTGTTTAGTTTTAGAAATAATGTGGGTTATTTTGCTGTAGTTCTATAAATAGTGTTTATTTTGTTCCCTTCCATAAACTGTTTTAGTTTAGTTTTTATGAACAATGTGTAATTTTGCAAAGTTTCATAAATAATGTGAGTTGCAAAGTTTCAAAAATAGTGTTAGTTATTTTGTTGTAGTTCCAGAAATAGTGTAAGTTATTTTGATTCATTTTTCAAAATAATGTGGTTAATTTTGTTGTACTGAAAATAATGTAGGTTACTTTTGTTTAGTTTCGAAAATAGTGTTGATTATTTTGCTATAATTTCATATTTAGTACTTATTTTGTTTCTTTCCAGAAATACTATTTTGGTTCAATTTGAAAAACATAGAAAAACCTACAATTAGGAAATTTTAGGTTATTTATAGTTCCAGAAATTGTGTGGGTTATTTCGGTTCAGTTTTATAAATAGTGTGGGTTATTTTGCTATAGTTCCAGAAAGGGTAAATCGCCAAAATGGTCATTGAGATTTGCATAACTCATCACTTTGGTCCTTGAGATTCCAAATCGATAAAAGTGGTCCCTGACATTGTCCACCATCCATCATTTTGGTTCTTCTGTTAAAAATTCCGTTAAGTGTCCCGGAGCTCTTGGCCGAAAGTTTGGGCAATTTTCAAAGCTTCGTAACTCAATCGTTTCTTAACCAAATTCGACCCATAATATATCAAAATGAAGATAGGAAAGTGTAGAATAATATTATACCTATTTAAAAGCCCAATGGTTGCCAAAGATGGTCGAAAAATAGCCCCAAAGTTGACTGGTCCAAGTGAAAACTTAAAAACTCGCCAAAAACTAGGTAAACTTTAAACGTTCATAACTTCTTCAATACTCAACGAAATCAAGTGATTCAAAAAATGAAAATCATACTTCTCGATGAGACAAAGAGAATGGTACCTTTTTCAACGGCTAACTCGTTGTGATTTGGCCGGAAAAAGGCTCGAAAGTGGCTAACTTGAGACCTAGACAGCCACGGCGAGTTAACCTTCAAAAAGGTACCATTCTCTTTATCTCATCGAGAAGTATGATTTTTGTTTTTGAATCACTTGATTTCGTTGAGTTTTGAAGAAGTTATGAGCATTTAAAGTTTACCCAGTTTCCAGCGAGATTTCAAGTTTTCACTCGGACCAGTCAACTTTGAGGCTATTTTCCGGCAACCATTGGGCTTCGAAATAGGTATAATTTTATTCTACACTTTCCTATCTTCATTTGATATATTATGGGTCAAATTTGGTTAAGAAACGATTGAGTTACGAAGCTTTAAAAATTGCCCAAACTTCCGGTCAAGAGCTTCAGGACACTTAACGGAGTTTTTAACAGAAGAACCAAAATGATGGATGGTGGACAATCTCAGGGATCACTTTTATCGATTTGGAATCTCAGGGACTAAAGCGATGAATTATACAAATCTCAGGGACCATTTTGATGATTTACCCTTCTAGAAATAGTGTGTTATAACTTATATTAGTTTAGTTTCATAAATAGTGTGGATTATTTTGCCATAGTTCTAGAAATAGTGTGAGTTATTTTGCTATAATTCGATAAATATTGTAGTTTATTTTGGTTCAGTTTTATAAATAGTGATCGTAGCAATATCCGTCTACACTAGGAGTATTTTTCTCTCAACAAAGGAACATTTAAAAATCGTAAAAGCTCTTCCTTTCAAAGCACAACCAGATAACAAGCACCCAAAACTCAAATTTCTTCATCCCTGTAACTATGACTCTCTAATAACAGATCCACTAACATTTGGAAACATAAAGAGCACTTCCGTTCATCTAAAATTTTCCACCAGAGTCGGTGCTTACACAATAACTAATGATTTCGTCAACATAACATCATTAACCACCGTCACCAGACCCACATTTCCTGCCAAGAAGTATGACTTGCAGCTTGTCATAGCCAACAAGCACATTGGCACCTGCAACAGCACGCAATATGTTTGCTCCAACACCCTTAAACATACATTCTCGTTTTTTTTATAATTTGCTTAAATGCATCCAAAGAGCTGTTGTATTTAACTGCTTCTGCTGAGTTCATCATCATCCTTCTACGCACTGTGTCAATGGGGTAAGAAGCTAATCTAACACCAATTGTAATTCTCCATGCCAACAAGAAAACAAGAAGCTAGCAAAGAAACTATCCTACAACCACTAGTTAGAACCACATGTTCAGAGAATCGTACATTCCAAAGTAAAGCCGACGATACACGATAATTCCAACACAAACAAACCATTAAATTGCCTTTCAACCACCCTTCTTGACAGCCTTGACATCATTTGCCAAATGTGTTCTTGCATAGTCCTGAGAATATACAAAAATAAGAGATGAAGCACCAGCTGCTCCACCTGATACCAGGTTCCCAGCGAACCACTTCCAGTAGCCATCTTTATCCTTCTTGAAGTGATTTTACACTACCTAGAACAAAAACAGTACATGTGTCCAAACAACAAATGCTAATTCCAAACTAAAAACCATAAATCACCATTCCAAGAAAATAACTTTTATTTTAATATTCAAAATCATGAAATTCTCTTAAAGCCAAATAATTGCAGAGAACTCCAGGTCCTCCATAATTCGGGGCGATTTGTCCACATTTCCTACACAGGTTTTACTATGAAGTACCTAAAATGCTCCATTGAGCTGTCAATCATTAATCTTGTTTAAGTTTTTTCTTTAATTTGCTTTGCCATTTTTGTTTCCAAGCACTGACCTCGTATTCAAAGGTGCAATAATAAAAAAATATGCAATTTTCACAGAGCAATATAAATAATTTTTTAAAATTATGCATACGAACACAAAGGGGTTCACCTGCATATATACATATCTAATAACTAATATATTTGATAGATCATGCCAGATTGCTGGAGAAATTTCAAAATATATAGATACCAAGTAAAAAATGTGTTCGTTTTGGTTTGCAGACATGGAACTTACTTATTAACAGTTGTATAGGGGAATGTTAAAGGTCAAAAAAGATTGATTAGAACTATAAAATGTATGAAGGAATTAAGGGAAACTGTAATACATATTGGAGAAATTTGTTAAGAAATGGAGTAATGCTATTCATACCATATTTTTATACCACATTTCTATACCACCTTAGGTGGCATCTGATGTGGACTTACTCTAAGAAATGTTATGAATAAGTGCATGTACCTAGCAGTACCCCCAATGCTGCGAATGCTCATGCTGCGGATGCCTATATCCCAATAGCCCCAAATTCCTTCATCCTCGAAGACTCCTAATATGGTAATTCGAAAAAAATGGTGAATTCAAATGGAATTGAAAATGAAAACAGAGATTAGGAAGCAATGAACAATCCAATTTGTGATACGGAAGCACTCCATACTCATGCTGTAAAGGGCTGCATAGAAGAGACCACCGAAACAGTGGCAATATGAAATGAAAATTTACAAAACGAAAACATAATACTAAGAATAATTGATAAGGAACAAAAACCAAAGTTGAAAAGAACTGAGCTATAGTTAAAAGATAAATGCGCGCATGCATCAATGAGAGGGTTCTCGGATATACTATTTTTATATTGAACACTGTATTATTACTATTTTTTAAACTGAACATGACTCTTTCTAGAACTAAACACAAGTACTATCATTATTTCTTAAATTGAACATATATGAAACAAAAACACAATTTCAGGGCACCTACATATACAACAATAACACCACATAAATTTTCATGCACACATCCCTGATTTTCATTCACAAACACCAAAAAAAACATTGCGATTTTAAACCCCATGTCCAATTACTAAGTTTCGAGTTTTGACACCCCCAGATTAAGCCCCAGTTTGGGGTTGAGGTGATTTTAAAAAAAGCTCCTATGAAAAAAAGCTGGGAGTGTTTTTGGTGTTTGGTAAACTTAAAAAAAAAAGGCTTATTTTGGAAGCTGCTGTGAGAATAAGCTGAAATCAAAGGAAAAAGCTGAAGCTGCAATTTGTAGCTTTGGAAAACTGGCTTTTTTTCAAAGCACACAGAACTACAGTGCTCCTTTAATGAAAAGATCCACTATCAGACTACTTTTTTTTTCAAAAGCACTTTTACAAAAAAGTTTACCAAACACTCTGCTGATTTATTTCACAACCGCTTATTCTCACAGCACAACCGCTTATTCTCACAGCAGCTTTTTTTCAAAGCACAGCAATACCAAACCAGCCCTAAACCAGCGGTTCAAACATGGTAGGGGTTTTGTACTAATATGACTAGGAATGTGTTGGGTTTATTATGCTAATTACTGCAAAACCCAATTCATGGAGCTTAAATTTTCCAACTAAAAAAAACTGAATTTGACCAAAGAAAAAAAAACAAAAACTGAATTTAATATTTGCTTAAGAGCTAAGCTTTTCGCATAGGACCACGTACTATTACGGTCTAGTTGTATTTATCTTCATTTGTGAGTGAGAAGTTTTAGATTTGATATTATGTAAAGGTGAATTTGAACCATATTATTACTAACATCTTGTGAGGTTGAACCCACCTTCTATCTTAACATAATAATATCGTTTTAGATGAATTTGAATCACATTATTGTTAACTTATTGTGAGCCTAAACCTATCCCTTCATTTTAATGTAGATAAATATAATAATAATATCGTTCTTTAAAAAAAATAAAAAATAAAAAATTCGATGAGCCAATTGTTCGCCATACGTGGTGGCATGCCATAAGTCCAAAAATGTCACACGTGTGATTTGAGACAACGCCTCTCCTGCCGCCACGTACGCAGAACCCCCGTGGCCGGACCAACGGAGATTGTCGTCGAATCTCACGGCCGTTAATTTTAGCGGCTCGTATTAATTAGCGTATGGGGTTTATATCCCGCCTATTTAAACGCGGGAAAGAGAGCGACTGAGAGTGAGAGGAAATTAAGAAACGCTAAAAAAGAAACGGATAGTATTCTTTTGGTTCTTTGTTTGGGGATTGTGAAACGGCAGCATTTTTGCAATGGCGGAGCGTACGGACGGAGTCAAGGCGGCGGAGTCTTCGATGGACAGGATATCGGACAAGATCCACGGCCACGATTCGTCGTCGGCGGTGCCGTCGTCTGGGGCGGTGCACGACAAGGGCATTGGCGGTGGCCATTCAACGTCGTTGAAGTCCAAGGTTAACAGGCTCTTTGGGAGGGAGAAGCCCGTGCACCACGTCTTCGGTGGCGGAAAAGGTATCGTTTGGGAATCGAAACGTTTCTTTCTGATCTTTCTGCTAATGCATCTAGATCTGGTGAATGGAGCTTGTAGATTTGATTAATTGCTAATTAAGATTTTGATTTTTAATTGAAACTGGACTTTTCTTTGGTAATGTTCTTAATTCGCTTCTGTTAATGCTCCGGGGGTGATTTTCTGTTTGATTATTTTATTAAATTATGATTATTGTGAATAAATTAAGTTGGGGTTACTTTGGTAATGGTGTTGATTCGTTTTTTTAATCTTTTTCCAGTTTTGCTAATCCCACTAATTATTTAACTGAACCTTTCTAATCGTGTTTTGCGTCGGGTTAACTTTTCTGTATAATGGCATTTCGGTTACGTGGTTTGGATTTTATCGAAAATTTGCAAGAAATGCAATTTATGTTTGGTTTGATGTAAAATTGATTGACATTCATCTTCCAGTTTTGCTAATCCAACTAATTATTTTACTGAACCTTGTGTTGGGTTAACTATTTTGCAAAATGACATTTTGATTACGTGGTTTTTTTTGTATTTCCGCGATCGAAAAATTGAATGATTATGTCACAGCGGCTGATGTTTTCCTGTGGAGGGACAAGAAGGCGTCGGCAGGTGTTCTTATCGCCTTAACGATCATATGGGTTTTCTTTGAATTGTTTGAATACCACCTGCTGACTCTGGTCTCCCACTTGTTGATTCTTGGGATTGCTTCGTTGTTCTTATGGTCCAACGCTTCAACCTTCATTAACAAGTAAGCATGTCTTCGATTCTTTTGTTTTTTGTTTTGTTTGTGTTCGGGTGTGATGATCTCGATTTTATATGCTTGGAATGATTCACTTAGCCACCAATTTGTTACATTCAGGTCTCCACCTCACATTCCACAAGTTCAAATTCCAGAAAAGCTGGTTCTACAGATTGCGTCTGTAATCACATTGGAGATCAATCGGGCTTTTGTTATCCTGCGCGAGATTGCTTCTGGCAAGGATCTGAAGCAGTTCCTCTCTGTATGTTTATTGTGCTCTAGCTCTGTCTTTTCTAATTGATGGTGTTCATGTTACTCTGCGATTCATGATGATGATTTAATTGTTGCTCAATTTGCAAGTTGATTGTAAATAACTGTGGCATATATGAATTGGAATCTGTATTCGTATGAGAGGGATGTTTTAGATATCATCGTGCTGATTTGATTGTTCATGTTTTTCGTATTTGTGGATGGTGTTATGATCGATTAGGTGATTGCTGGATTGTGGGTTGTGTCTATCTTGGGCAAGTGGTACAACTTCTTGACCTTGGTGTACATAGGTAAGGAAACTACATTGTACATATTAGTTATGACTACAATTTGCCATTTCTTTTTGCGCACGTTCTTACCATGGTGTTGATTCTTTCTTCACAGCGGTGGTTTTGCTCTTCACGCTGCCTGTATTCTACGAGAAATACGACGACCAGGTGGATGCAGTTGCGGAGAAGGCACTGATTGAGATCAAGAAGCAGTATGCAGTATTTGACGCGAAGGTTATGAGTAAAATTCCTAGGGGGCAATTGAAGGACAAGAAGTTTTAGATTGGATGTCGTGCAGCCGGTTCTATTAAGCTGACAGATTTTGGTAGCTGTGCTTTGCCAGGGTGTTTTGCACATCTTATCCATGATTGCTTAGGATCCTCTTCTCCCTTTTGTGTTGTTCGCGAGTCCATTGGATTCACAATGGGGATGAATTTGTGAATTTGTTTTACGTGCTTGTTTTCGCTACGTATATGATATTTTTGGTTTTATTTTTCATGGAGATTTTAATATGTGTGATCTGGTGATCACGCTAGCAAACTTCAAATCAATGATTATTCTGTACATTTGGGTTTCAGTTTCTTCTTTTGCTTAATGTCTGTTGTTGGATGGAATGATATGGTGATTGTTCATAAAAATGAGATTATATTCACACACTTCAAATTACTTTTCCCACATCCTTATAATTTTTTTAATATTTGTTTATCAAGTGTTAGTGTTGTGTAAAATATTAAAAAAAAATTTAAATAAAAGAATGTGCGAAAAGTAATTTGAAGTGTGTGAATATAATCTCTCTTCATAAAAATCCTCTCTTTTTGGTACTGGAGAAACACATTGCCATCTTATGTAGAATTGAATCTGTATAAAGCTGCTCAAAAGGTTATGCTTTCGCTTCTTTGCAGTTTAAATTAGTTTAAAGTAAATAATCGCTATAAGCAAATTTCCATTCTCTTCCATTCTGCCCTTTTTGACCTCTCCTTCCTATATGCTGTGTTGACTTGTCATTACATCGACAATTTCACTTTTCTCTAGAAGGATAGAGATGTTAAGGATACTAAAGGACCACCTATTGACCATGAGCACAATGCATCAAATTAATACCTAGATACTTAGTTTAATTGTTAAGTTTTGGTTTCTTAGAGTTAGTTATGTAAGAATGCTTAATCAGCATTATTGAGTATTTATGTATACATACACTTTGTACTCTTTCAGACAATTAATGAGAATCATTATTCAACAAACACTATCTCTCTCTATATTCTTTCTCTCTCTAAATTCTCTCTAAATTCTTGATCTCTTTATAGAACTCTAATCTTCAACATGGTATCCTCCGCTGTTGTCTAACGACTTTGATCCATTGCTTCCATTTGCATGCATTTTCTTGCCCTTTCTTACCTTTCAAACAGGTCTTACCTATCTCAGTTGTTTTCTTCTTTGCAAATTGTCTGCTTCTTCAATGGCAACAACTATGAATTCCTCTGATTCTCTTTCTCCTGCAACCTCTTATGGCCCTAATTATCATGGCAAAGTGTATTATCCTCCAAATACTTTGATTGCATCAATTATAGTTCAGAATGTCATTGGAATGGTTCCGACTAAACTCAATCGTCAGAATTACATTACCAGGCGTAGCTAGTTCATTTTTGTTCTGAAACGATTCAAACTTTTATGGCTTTTCAATGGCGAAGATCTTTGTCCACTGGAATTTGTTCGTGATTCTTTTGGTTCTCGAATTCTCAACCCAACTTATGAGATCTGGTGTGAACGTGATCAGATTCTAACAATTTAGATCAATTCTACACTTTTTGATGATCTTTTTCCGTTGACGATTAGGATGGAAGATTCACGATCTCTTTAGCAATCACTTGAGCATTGTTTTACTGGTGCTTCACACACTCATGTCCACAGCCTTCGATCCAAGATTCATACTATCCAGAAATGTGATTCTTCAATGACCGACTATCTCAATTCATTCAAAGAGATCTCGGATAAACTAGCCGTTGCTGATGTGCCGATCTCTGAGAATGATCTTGTTGCTTACATTCTCTTTGGCATGCTTGATGAGTATGAATAATTGAGACGCGCTCTAAACATGTGAATGTTGATGAACTTCACGGTCTTCTCCTCAGCAAAGAAAATTCTCTCTAGAATCGTAAGACTCGATCTACTTCCTCCTCCACCTCAGCACTTTTTCATGCTTATACAACACATCAAAATCCTTCTGGTTCCAATTTTTTTGAGGAAAGTTTCAGAATCACAATCGATCTAATCAAAATCACAATTTTGGTGGTGTTCTTGGACCTGCTCTGAATCAGAATCAATCATCATTCTCTGGTTATACTCCTAACAACTATCAAGCTGGTCAATCATCATTCTTCTTTGGATGCCCTATTCCTTGCCAACGGTGTCATCAACATGGTTATCTTGTCTTCTCTTGTGGTCGCCTCTCATAATTTGCGTCTTAGCAATCTCAGGGATTCAACAACAATTCTCATGTAGGCATGTCTGCCATGATTGGTTCATCTTCTCTAAGCTACTGGATCACTGATAGTGGAGTTTCACGTCATGTCACTCCTTATCCAGCATCTCTCAACTCATCAATTCCATACACTAGTACTGAACAACTATTCGTTGGTAATGGTATAAGTCTCTACATTTCTCACACTAGATCTGCATTTATTCAAACTGCTAAAGTTGTGTTTAAACTAAATGATGTGCTTTTAGTTCCTAAGGCATCTCATTACTTAGTATCAGTATATATATTTGTTCATGATAATTGGTGTTCTTTGACATTTGATCTGTTTGGATTCTTTGTCATTGACCCAATAACTGGGAGGATACTTTTCCAAGGCTCAGTGAAGGAGGTCTATATCCTTTCTATTTGAATGCATCTAATGGCGTATTTGGTATCGCCATTTCTCCTCATGCACTCATGATAGCTAAAGTAGACGTCCATATATGGCACAGAAGGCACGAACATCCTTCTAGTGTAGTTTTAAATAAGGCTGTCAATAAAAGTAACCTACCTGTTGTTGGTTCAGTACACAAACAATCCTTTTGTTCTGATTGTCAATTGGGGAAGGCCTCTAGACTTCCATTTTCTGTTTTTCTTTGTACCTTCACTATGTCATTTCATCTCATTCATGATGATGTATGGGGTTATTCCCCCATTTCTTCATGTACTGGATATAAGTACCATCTCTTCCTAGTTGATGATTTCACCAAATATAGTTGGTTATATCCCTTGTACTTAAAATCTTATGTCTGTTTTGTTCTTAAGAATTTTGTTCAGAAAGTTCATAATTGGTTTGATGGTAAGATTTAGTGCTTGAGATCTGATTTAGGGGGTGAGTTTCTAAGTTCCGTTTTACGAAATTTCCTTAATGATCAAGGTATAACACATCAATTAAGTTGCCCTCACACTCCTGAGTAGAATGGGTGTGTAGAAAGGAAACACAGACATGTGGTTGAAATGGTTAGGACTCTGTTATCTCACAGTGGTTTGCCTTTTAAGTTTTAGGTAGAAGCCTTTCAAACTTCAGTGTATCTCATCAAAAAGCTGTCATCTCAGTTTTCTCTTTGTCCTTATAAGTTATTGTTCAAAGCTGCACCTAAGTATCACACTTTGAAAACCTTTGGTTGTGCTTGTTATCCTTGATTACAACCATATAGTTTTAACAAACTAGACACAAAGAGAAAGTTATGTGTATTTTTGGGATATAGCTTAAACCACAGTAGCTACATATGTCTAAATCTAGTTACCAACAAGTTATACATTTCAAGACATGTTGGATTTGATGAAGCCTCATTCCCTTTCAAGCAAATTAATTTTTCACATACCACTTCCCCAATACCACCCATTACCAATTCAACTTATTTTATTTCATTCACCATACCACTTCCTTCTGCATCACATTTACCCGATGCATTAGATTTACTTACTGCATCTCCCATTGAAGTCTTTCATACTATTGCTAGTTCTCCTTTTCTGGCACCAATTACTCAACCCACCGAAGATGTTACATCAGTTTCTATTCCAGTTAATAATCATCCAATGGTTACAAAGGCTAAGGCTGGAATACACAAACCCAAAGTGTTCACTGCAACTAAACATCATCTTCCCTCCACTGTTGACTCTCTTATTGTTATTCCTCTTACACTAACCACTTATCTCCAAGCTTCTAAGAACTAAAATTGGTTAGCAGCAATGAAGGATGAGTACCAAGCTCTTTAGTTCACAAGTACTTGAGATCTGGCACTTTTCAATCCTCATTATAATTTGGTAGGCTGTAAATGGGTGTTCAAAATAAAACACAAGGCTAATGGTTATATAAAGAGGTATAAAGCTCGACTATTAGCCAAGGGATTTCATCAACAAAAACGTCTTGATTTCTTTGAAACCTTTAGCCCAGTAGTCAAACCTACAACCATTCAGATTATTCTCTCTATTGCAGTTACAAATAATTAGTTTGTTCATCGGTTGGATGTGAGCAATGCCTTTCTTCATGGCTATCTCAAAGAGGATGTATACATAGTGCAACCTCTTGGGTTTATTGATTAAGCTAAACCTCATCATGTTTGCAAACCAAAGATATCACTCTGTGGTCTAAAACAGGCACCTAGGGCCAAGTATGAAGCCTTTTATAGTGTTATTCTCTCATTGGGATTTACTTTTTCCTACTCTGATACAAGTCTCTTCATCAAGAGAGATTCTTCCATTACTTTTATCTTAGTTTATGTGGATGATATCATCATAGTTCTACTACTGTTTGTCATTCCATAATTTCCAAGTTCCAATCTTTGTTTCCTGTCAAATTTTTTGGAGATATCCATTATTTCTTAGGAATTGAAGTTCACAGATCTCTTTCTCAATCAATCAAAATATGCCTTGGATTTGTTGAAGAAAACAGACATGCTTGGTGTCAAACACTGTTCTACTCCAGTTGGTTCAGCCAAATTGGATCATTCTGGCACTATTCTTTTAGATCTTACATCTTATAGGTTAACTGTTGGTGCACTGCAATACTTGATATGGATAAGGCTTGATCTGGCTTTTGCTGTGAATTAGGTTTGCCAGCACATGCATGCTCGTAGAACTATACATCTACAGTTGGCAAGAGGATCTTAAGGTACCTAAAGGGTATAATTGACTCAGGCTTATGGTTCAGATGAGGAAAACAGGTTCTCACAGCTTGCTCTAATGCTAATTCGGCAGGTTGTCCAGTAGACAGAAGATCTACCAGTGGCTTTTGTGTATTCTTGGGTCCTAATTTGATTTCTTAAAGTGCTAAGAAACAAACCACTGTGGCAAGATCTTCTACAGAAGTAGAATATAGGTCTTTAGCCAATACTACTGCAGAAATCATTTGAGTGTGTAAAATATTGCAGGATATTTCTTTTCCTCTTCTTCGAACTCCTATGATTTTTTTGTGATAATCAGAGTGTTATTGCACTAACTAAGAACCTAGTTTTTCATGCTCGAACAAAACATATCGAGATCGATTATCATCTGAGAGAAGGTTCTTCAAGGTCATATCAATGTTCATCATGTTGCTACTTTACTACAGATTGCTTATATTTT